GCACGCTAACGATTTTTCACAAAACGTTTTCATGCGTCCGATAAAAGGCTTTATCTTGAAACTGAGCCGTTGGAGTTAAGTCCCTTTTTTGTTTGCATGTCATATTTATATAACATTCGACCTCTTTATGAAGGAGGCTACCTATATTATCTGACCCTTGTCAGCTTTAACTCCACAATGCTGAGTTTTAGTAAATGAGCAAAAAAATATATATCATCGACTGATACCTATCATTTTTACTGTGATTAGACTGGCCTCCTGTTTATCTATTATTATTTTATATTGTCGTAGTTTTCGCGAATCGTAGATATAATTATAACTACTTTTACGGCATAATGTCGTGCTTACTACTGTCATTTTATTATCAGGGACCACGAAAACTGTAAAATATTCGAAACCTCGGAAATAAGAAAATACAAATAATAAAGGGAGATTAAACCGTAATAGAAGTTTTAAATGTTTATTTATATTGTAAAAAAATAGTCTGCAGGTATTTCATGATATTTTTCATTCGAATTATGACATGTTTAATATGCTACTTAATAATACATACCATATACATAGAGAATTCGAGCAAAACCTTTGCGAAAACAATTTAGGGCTCAAATGAGAACAATAAAGTTAAAATCTAAACACTTCAAGACGTCATTATGTTTTTGTAACTCTTCCCCGGAGACTCGACTAGGACGTAGGGTCGTGCGGAGAAAATTTTCTTAGAAAAACAATAAATTTTCTGTGAGCTACGCTCGAGTGAGTTTCGGTGTCGGCTGAGCGAGAGCACGCTCGCCATAATATATTGAATTTGAAACGAACAAACTTTTACGTTCCCCTCGCCGCGTGTAAAAAGATTTTCACAAAATGTTTACAATGCAATAATTTTAACTCCACATCGAGGAACAAGATCGTAGTATTTAGTACAATACTTGATGTAATGAAAAAATTAATTAACACAAAAACTTTATACCAAATCGGTAGAATCACAGTCAGACATCTGAACCACTAAACTCAGACCTCCGTTAATAAACACTGCAAACAGAACACTATTGCGATTCACTTTCATAACGATGTGCTTAATGAAAATGTGAATCAGTTAATCATTTACACCAAATGCTCATTTCCTCCGATAGGACGTACATAAATTATGACCTAGTATTGGAAAACGAATAATCCCAGAAGGCTCTTAAGTCGCATTAATATTTCTCTCATTTCCCGAAACATGGAAATTACATTTTCACACCTTTTTCTCGATCCTTACCCGGTTCATCATCCGAACCATCAATAAGACTTGACGAAACGTTATCTTTGAAAACAGCCATTGATCGCCGGGAAAACACTTTATATCATAGCGCTTTACCGGCGGTTAAACCACAAAAAAATATTCGTGAAAAGGTGTGAGCTCTCTGCCTTAATCCCTGACGATTTGCGAAGAAGGAAAAAAGGGTTCGCGCGCTTAGAGGCCGAAGATCTTCTATAGAGCCAACCCGCCTTCTTGCCCACGTTTATCGCTCCTTCCAAACCCCTATTTATTTCTTTAACTCAAAGGAAATTAATCGAAACACTCTAATTCGGAGCTATTTCAATCGTTTCTAAATATTCTTAGATCAAATTTGACAAGCTGTGCCTGCTATTTCATATGTTCAAATAAGCTTCAAGTTTACATGGTCATAATATTATTTCTATAGCTTTCAATATTAATTAATTGTATAAATTGAACACCATTTATTGTAGCTCACGCTATTTATGGCCGCCATAAAGAGTCGCTATTGCTGCCCTATACTGAGGCACTGGATGAAGTCCATGTTGGCTCAAGACCAGCCATGGTCAATGTAAAATAAATAAAATGTACTTTTTTTCGTATTACTAACACTTCATATGGAATTTAATTCTGAAATAAAAATTTATTATTATTATTATTATTATTTCAATACACATTTGAGTTTACAAATTTGGTGTACAAAAGTATATATGAAATTTATCTAGGAATTTACATATATCTACAGAAGATATAAAAAACCCACTTAAACAATGTTTGTTATGATTTTTATAAAACGTATGTATATATTTTCATAAATTTATTAAGTAATAATATATAGTTTGCAACACAGTAACGTAGCCTCTAGACAAACTGATTCTTGAGCCAAGTCAAATAAACATATATTACGGATTTACGAGTATATGCCTAGGATAAGCTTTGGCACCCATGTAATATTCATATTTGGCCCGATTCAGTCAACATGGAATTTTTGTGGGACTCATCCCATTGCCATACAATTTATGAGACTTTATAGCTTTTCTGCTCTGTTTCTTTTGTATTTTAAAAGAATTATTATTGCCCAATAACAGAAAACTCATTGTGCATTTTTCAGTATCATGTAATAAAAAAATAACTTCTTAAGGTAATTTCGTTAAAATGTTTTAACGTAAATTAATTATTCTAGTCTAAATAACTGTAAATATTAATGTATTTATCGAAAGTTCTAGTTACTCCTATAACTTCAAATCTACCTTATAATGTATCGTATCTTATGTAGCACAAGTACTCTACTGTAAATCTGTACATTTCAAATTCTTTTTGTGTAATTTATTTTGCTACGGCTACGATAACAGTCGAAAATCCAGAGGGCCTAAAGCTTGTCTGTCAAAGACAAAATCTTAATTTCATTGTTATGACGGTGTTCTACGGAACCAACCGGTCCTCTGCTTTACGGCTGAAAAGACTTGTAGTACGGGCCTTTGCGAACTGACAATATGCTCTTGAAAGATAGATTAAAATCATTATAAAAATTGGAGCCCATATTTCTACTAACACGTTATTTTTTCAACATTGAAGCTGTTAAACGGGATAAAATAACAACAAAAACAGTTGGTAACGTACTTGTTATATTCATAGGGAATAATACATTCAAAAACATACATAAAAAAGAGAGCTGACTTAGGACGATCCGTTTGAAATTTAAATAATGATGAAATAAAAAATATAACAATATATAAGTATATCACGAAAAAAAACATGATTTTTAGGTACTAATATTATAAAGCTAAAGTTGGTTTGTTTGGTTGAACGCGCTAATCTCAGGAACTACTGATCCGATTTGAAAAATTTTTTAGTGTTAGATAGTCCCTTTATTGAGGAAGCCGATATGCTGTGTGACAATCACGCTAAGACAAATACGAGCGGAGCACTAATAGAAAAATGTTTCAAAATCGGTATTTTTTCCTTTTGAGAGATTCCGCTGCGTGCGCTGCGGAAACGGCTAAAGTTTCGCTAAAATAATGCATGACAATAATGTTTCCCTTTACAAGTTTTAAAAAAATTCCACGACAGCTTATACCTATATTTTAAGGTTGGCTCACTATAACCTCTTTCATGCTAATCAATTTTTTTCTAAAATAAAGCATTATTTTTATAAAGATATAGCGACCCGCCCTCGCTTCGCTTCGGAAACAATAAAACACACATTAAACCAAAAAAAAAAAAAAAATTTAAAAAAAGTAGCCTATGTTCGCCAGGGACAATTTCGGCTTCTAATGGAAAAAGAATTTTTCAAATCGGTCCAGTAGTTTCGGAGCCTATTCGAAACAAACAAACAAACAAACAAATCTTTCCTCTTTATAATATTAGTATAGATATAGATATAGACTAGCGACCCGGCCTCGCTTCGCTTCGGAAACATTAAATTTTATTATTGACTAGCTGACCGGGCAGACTTCGTAGTGCCTCAATTGACAAATAAAAGATATATAAAATAAACTTGAAACAAACAAAAGGAAGCCGTACGGCGGGGGACACATCAAAGGAAAAACAAAATTGTTATTTTTATTTAATTCCGAGCATTTTCATTCATTTATCTACCTTTTAAACCTTCTCTAGACTTCCACGAATAATTCAAGACCAAAATTAGCCGAATCCGTCCAGCCGTTCTCGAGTTTTAGCGAGACTAACGAGCAGCAATTCATTTATATATTTATAGATTAAATAAATAAATAAAATTATATATTCATATATTCGATAGAAAAAGGTTTCAGTTTCCTTATTGAGCGAAAAGTGCCACAAAATCACAAAAAAAATTGTTTTACATTTAGTAGAATAAAATAAATCAGTCTGACACGCACAAATAGGTTGAATACTTTTTCAACCTTATTATAGGAATCTTTGATTTATACTTTTATGTAAGAATATTTCTCACTCTAAAATAAGTTATTATTTTATTACCCTTGTTAGAAAATACTTAATTCTTGAACAAATACAGTATTAGTACAGTCTATGTAAATCTATTATTTATTAATGATGGACGTTTCAATGAGATTCGTTAACGTTCAGGAACCTGTCTTCGGATTTTGTTGGTAATCCTCGACATCGAAACGTTCTCATTAATTATTGTGGAGGTAACAAAATGTATGGTGATGCTTCAGGTAAATATCAAGGTAGATAAACGAGTGCTTAGTTAAATTTATGGGAAAACCCTTAAAGGAAAGGTCAGTTTACACTGAAACAATTCCATGACTAGTTAAAATAATATCTGATTTCTGTGTTGTACTTTTCAATCGTATTTATGACGATATAACAAAATAATTCCAGCATTTTGATGAAGATTAAAAGCACCCGTTCGAATAAGACTTTTCCGCGGTACTATAACCATCAATCCAAAAGATATCAGGACCAACTTAAAAACTCATCATAATTAACATTAATTTAAATTCAAGATTATTCATAGCAGACAGAGAAGTTACTTCGATGGTATTTAACGCCGCACCTGCCCGAGGCGTCTCAGCGTGGTCGAAATTAATGCGACGCAAAGTCGGCAAAAGTCAATTACACTTTATTAAAACCGTCTCCATTTATATCAATTTGACGCAAACTGTTACAAATACTGGTAATGTTCGTTCCTTTCATCTAAGAGCGAGGCGGGGCTACGCAAGCGCCGGGTACGTTCTACATTCGTAGATCCGTAGACAAAGCGGGTAGCGTAGCGCGACCAGTACGCAGCCGAAGCGCCGCGAGTTGACAGCGTTTCGCTGCCCTGGATACGTCAACAATACGCCGCGCGTTCGCACTCAAAACAAACCTCAATAGATTCACCTGCCGATGAATATTTAATCGACCCAACCTCAATGGCGTATAAATGAACTCCGTCGCTCTATTAAAAGCCATAACAATACTTTGTTGACACATTTGTAAAACTGTTTTTTTATTGCAATATATATTTTTAGTACAGTATTTGAAGTTCAAACAAGATGATTGGGCGAATATTCGCGGCGAGTTCAACTATAACGACTTCGGTTTTGTTACTACTTGTTGTTAGCGGTTCCGTCACCTCGTCCGATGGTGAGTGGTAGCTTTAAACATTCTTGAAGTTATCATGACGATTTCAAGATAACATAAAACGTGAAAGAGCAGACGATTCCTCTAATGTTAAGCGGTAACCCATGGCTACCACATTATCACCATTCTCCTTAAGACTCATTTGCATTAGAATAATGGTCCTCACTAGTACTTTAATAACTAACGAAAATAACGAAATGCTGCTTCTTGGCAGAAATGAGTGGGAAGGTGCACTGAATTCTAATATACATGTCTAAAATCTATAATATAAAAATTGCACTAAAATGCCTATAGCCGATTGCATTAAAAACTAATTGATGTGCTCTCGTCTGTACTGTGCTTATAAAAAACCTATTTTTTTCTTTCACAACTCTAATATGTACTTTTAATCACGTTATCTGTTTTATTTAATCACATAATAAGTTTATAAACATTTCTACAATAATTTTTAGTTAACGCGTGCGAAACTTTTAGTTTTTTAGCAAAACTTTCGAATGCGAAACACATTTATACTACTTTGTAAGTTTTTACGAGCGTGCGAACTGTTTGACACGAAACAGGTGATTCCGTTAGCTCAAGGATATCAGACTAAATCATAAATTACGATCATAAAAATGTAATAGTTTCGTTTCGTAATTTACTATTTAGTCAATAAATAAAATATTCATATTATCACGGGTAATATAAATGCACTATACCTATTTTTGTGGTAATTTTTCATTTTGGTTTTTTTTTCACTAAATACCTATTTATGAAACTTACTATTGCTTATTGTTAATCATTATCATTAGAACGCGCAATTCGTAATCATATACAGAATAATTTAGCATAAAATTATATTTAAATATAAATTCTATGACTCGTAGCCGCTTTCCCAAAATTTTCTTATTTTTCACTGCCTTCAACTTAGCATCCAATTAACTTATGCAGCTCTTGAAACTTTTTTATTCGCCGTCAGATACTAACCAGTGATCAGTACGTTTCTTTTTTGCTGTCACATATGCCACTTGTGGACATCCAGTTGATTGTTGATACACGAAATATCTGATTATTCATCAGTTGAATAACGATTATTTCTGAAAACATTCTCAGCCTTTTTCTGTCACTAATCTATACTAATAATATAAAGCTGAAGAGTTTGTTTGTTTGAACGCGCTAATCTCAGGAACTACTGGTCTGATTTGAAAAATTCTTTCAGTATTAGATAGCTCATTTATTGAGGAAGGCTATATATATAATATCACGGTAAGACTAATACAAGTGGAGCACCAATAAATAATGTTTCAGAATAGAGGTTTAAATAGCTCCTTAACATTCTATAATTCAAAAATATCTTTACTTTCTACATAAATGAAGTGGGTGTTAAAATTTAGCCTTATGCCAAAGTAACTATTCCACGCGGACGGAGTCGCGGGCAAAAGCTAGTTGTTACAATAACTATTAAGATCTTGTTAACAGCCACTGAACACATTCTCAATAAGATTGTAATAACAGCTTCAAGCAGAAATCGATCTATATTTTCTGGCAGAAATAGTATTGAATAGTTTTCAAAATTAACAACAATTTTGCTGCCGTATGAAAATAGTAGGTATTTGATATAAGTAAACTAAACGAAAGTTTTGAAAGACATTTTCTTATTATGCGGCTTAGTGTTAATTTTGTGAAAACTTCTATCTTTACTGGTGGTAGGACCTCTTGTGAGTCCGCGCGGGTGGGTACCACCACCCTGCCTATTTCTGCCGTGAAGCAGTAATGCGTTTCGGTTTGAAGGGTGGGGCAGCCGTTGTAACTATACATGAGACCTTAGAACTTGTATCTCAAGGTGGGTGGCGCATTTACGTTGTGGATGTCTATGGGCTCCAGTAACCACTTAACACCAGGTGGGCTGTGAGCTCGTCCACCCATCTAAGCAATAAAAAAAAAAAAACTTCTTATTTCGTACTTAAACGGTATTAAACTGAAGTTTTACTTTACCTGTTTGAAACGAAAACTAAGACAATTAATTATAATTACGACAGTATTGCAAATTCCTTTAATCTCTCTGTTACTCAATCTAACTGACTTAAGCTCACAATTTATCATCATCCTAAATTGGTTAATGTTAAAATTAAATCTAAAGGTGTCTTCTTATTTTAACTTTTCTTGTTTTATTCTGATAAATATTTTATCGTCATAATGAGAATATACATACATATGTTTAATATGAGCAAATAGCTAAAATTATAATACATTTCACTTTTCGGCTGGGATTAGTTTAATTAAAAAGTCATTAAAATATAAAAACTAAAGCTATTTATTCACTTTTCGACTGGGATTAGTTTAATTAAAAAGTCATTAAAATATAAAAACTAAAGCTATTTTCAAATTGAGTATTTGATATCTTATTATTTTGTTAGTCTCATAACCAAGCAGATCTAATCATGTTTTTTCACAATGTCTGTTTCAGCATTGATATCTACCATTATTCAACAGATTAGCTCTGCCGCATGTGTCGCAGAATATTAAAAAGAGAATTATTGGGTTCTGTTCGAATTGTATGAATATTCTGATTATACAGAGCGATCTTTCTCGGTAGCTTTTGTGCATGCCGATGTGAATGATATTTACTTACCGTTTTTTCCTTATCACATATATGAGTCGTCTATTATCAAAGGTGGCAATCTGTGAATTTGGACAAAAAAATGTTATTGATATGTCAATACAGATTTATTTGAATATAATCGTCTCCTTCAAAGAATACGGTTCAAAACCTGCATTAAATAAAGGTTAATACTTAACCTGTTATTTATCTAAGATGTCGCTCAGAAGAGTTTTGTGACTGCCAATGGAATACAAAGTCAATACATAATTCGTTTTTCTGATTTACCAATAATTGTCCAAAAGTCACATTGCCGGCTTTGATAATAGTCGACTCATATAAGCAAATCTGTTTACGTAATGTGGATAAATATAAGTAAATACGCTTATGAATGTATCGTCGTTTGAAAAGGTTTTTGTTTATCGATAGTAAATTTAGTATCGACATTTAAATTTTGAGCACTCAAGCGAGGCGGGCGCTAAAAATAAACTTGATAAAGAATCTCGCCGTGCACAAACGAAAGCGGAAAGTTTGCATTCCGGAATCTGAATTAATGCTTATATCTTAACTGCAGTTGAAGTCGTCGTGGCCTAAATGATAAGACGTCCGGTGCATTCGTGTTGAGCGATGCACCGGTGTTTGAATCTCGCAGGCGGGTACCAATATTTCTAATGATATATGTACTTAACAAATGTTCACGATTGACTTCCACGGTGAAGGAATAACATCGTGTAATAAAAATGAAACCCGCAAAATTATAATTTGCGTAATTACTGGTGGTAGGACCTCTTGTGAGTCCGCACGGGTAGGTACCACCGCTCCACCTATTTCTGCCGTGAAGCAGTAATGCGTTTCGGTTTGAAGGGTGGGGCAGCCGTTGTAACTATACTGAGACCTTAGAACTTATATCTCAAGGTGTGTGGCGCATTTACGCTGTAGATGTCTATGGGCTCCAGTAACCACTCAACACCAGATCTCGTCCACGGATCTAAGCATTAAAAAAAAAAAAACAAAAAAAAAAAAGTGAACAACTATCAGTCTCGAGTTGTAGTAGTCAATTTGACCTCGCTCGCTTATTTTATGAGCTATATTCGTTGTATATAACGTATATCTATTTGTCTATACGTTGCAGCAAAGCTTCAATTTGTAAATCGACTCTGCGAAGGCGAGCAGCGGAGAACTTTCTCACTGCTAGAGCGGCTACTGATTGCGGTGCCAATTACCACATAAACGAGCCTCACTCAACCCAAACATTCAGAATTCTAAAACTAAGTTGCCCAATACATATATGTATATAAAATTGAAACATTCCAAAACTAAATTTCCAAACAATATATTGCGATGAAACTAAGTTCATCAAATAATTGTTACTGCCTCCTAAAGTTACAGATGTACCAAAGAAATGACAACTTCTCAGTGCTATTAACTCAACAATTTTCGGAAAACCCCAAGGACTTAAGCCGATTTTCCTGGCGACTTTATTATGCCTGTTATGCAAAATTGGTACGGTGGTTTGTTGAGAAAGGATGACAAATAACTTTTTCTGACATTAAATGCGTTGCTGTGTAATTTAAGTAAGAGATCGTATTGCTCAGCATTTCAATATAGGTCTTAACGATTAAGTTCATTTTGGAAACAGCATACCGTAATGCTTCCTAACTTATGCTGAGATATTCAAAAAGAACAACAACGTTTAGCGAACATGTATTGCGAAGCAGACTACTTGGACGAAGAGCTTAGACTCTTAAATCTGCTGTTTTACGCTTACTTTATTTTAACTGTCAAAATTAAGTAAAAATGTCGTTACAGCCTTGCTATAGTAGAACTCATTGGCAAAAAATTAAAATATACAAAAAAAAACTTCAAACGGCATGAAATAATTTAGCTATTAAAATTTTAGGAAGCAAAAGTTACAATGGATGTTTTTGCTATCGTTTACAATTCAAAACGATCAACAAATCATTTATTTACGATAAGCAAGATATACGCCAATATATTATACGTAGATAGGGACGTCATAAATCAGGAGCAAACAAAAGTTCGTAACTAATTCATATCCATAGGAACTAGAGTGCAGTTTTTGCGGTCGGGCTCGCGGTCTGTCACGACCGTGTGTTCACAGATAACGCCGTCCCTCTATCTAATGAAGCCAATTTTCTTCGCCCGCCCCACCTTGCTTTCCTTTTGAATTTCTCGCGTATTTTCCTTGTCATCCATCTCCTTCCGTTTGCACATTCGCAGATTACTTTTGATTTCAAATTCCGCAACCATTGATTTGATAAACAAAATTTTGTTGATCTTCAAAACAAAATTGACGTGAAATTAGGCGATGAATGCTGTGTTGCTAGTTTTAATTAATTGGTTTTGTTACTCCAATTTTATTTTTACACTTTTATATTAACAAGATATTTGTACACATACGTTA